TTCAATCCATTGGGTTAAATTAAAACTAGACTCATACAAAAAAAAAAAACTAAACTCAAACTATACCTACTACAATCCCAAGTATGCTTATAAATACATACACAGACATGAAAACGTAAGCTATAAAGTCCCAAGTAAGCTCATAAATACACACACAAACATGAAAACATCAAAATATTAAAAGTGGCTACCTCTGGGTGGTGGGGTTATGGATGACTTGTTCTCCTGTATTTCTGAATCTGCTACAGTGGCGTTAGCGTATTATGACAGTTTTCTAGCAAGAGGAAGGGGCGGGGAAATGAAAGGCAAGTTTGCTTTCTGCTCCTTCTGACTCCACAGGCCACACATGGAAGAGCAGCCGGAAGCAGATTACTCTGCTGGGAAACTCACTTTTATAAGCCTCAGTACACGCAGCATATTTCCTTAGAACGTGGAAAAAGTGGATCAACATATTTGCTTCAGACTAATCCAGAAATACGGTTTTCCTAAATTTCTCCTTACACTGTAAAGTCAGAATAGCCCAAGGCTCTAGCCACAAGTTCACAAAGTTACACTTAGAACACAAAGAAAAGGGAATAGCATCAGATGATAAATCCTGTGGTTTCCCATATTTCGTCTGATTTTTAACCTAAAGACATTACACAAATCTTTTTTGAGCTGCTCTGCTCCTAGATAATAACAGAATCTTCCCCAAAGGAGCTGGGAACCGGAATGAAGTCATCCCCAAACAGGCCCACAAGGCTGCCACGTATGTCGGCCAAAATGAACACGGCCTCCCTCCTGCTGTCTGGTTTCAGCCTGTCTTCCAGATCATTTGTCCCTTTAATTGCAAGTTAAGAACTCTTTAAAACTGAACTCTCTCCTTTTCTCTGGATCTTGACTCCCATTTCAGTATTCATTTTTTATTATAAAAGCAATAAATGCACACGTGTATAAAGTAAAACGTACCTCTACATCCCCCCACTCCCCTCTCTAGAGATAACAAGCTTCCTGTGTCTCCTGCCACAAATTTAATGCATATAAAAGCAGCTCTTGTTTAAGCTAATGAGACCATATCATACACACTGTTGGGCACTTTTTTTTTCTTACTCAATACCGACACCTCTTCACACACACGCACACAGATTTAGTTTTTCGTTTCTGTTTTTTTTCCATTTTAATGTGATTCTCAGCCTTCTGAGAGACCGTCTAGCATGGTGAGAAGGAGAGCTGTACTCCCCATTTGCCCTTAGAGTAGCTGCATAACCTCTGGGAAATCCCTTAACCCTTCCCTGGATCTCTGCTGCTACTTCATCCCCAAGGAAAGGGGAGAGGGTTGTTGGGAGGGGAAGAAAACTTCTTGTGCCCGAAAACTGAGGCTGAAGCAGGTGACCCCTCTAGTTTCAAGAGCTGTGTGATAGGCCCCCCCCAAAGATGTCCACATCCTAATTCTCAGAACCTGTGAATATGTTACCTTACGTGACAAAAGGTACTTTGAAGATGTGATGAAGTTAGGGATCTAGAGATGGGAAGAGTATTCTGAATTATACAGGTGGGCCCAATGTAAGTAATTACAAGTGTCCTTATAAGAGGGAGGCAGGGGGATCAAAGTCAAAGAAAGAGATGTGATGACAGAAACGATGTTGGAGTGGGGTGGGGTCACAAGCCAAGGCATGCAGGCAACCTCGAGAAGCTGGGAACAGCAAGGAATGGACTCTCCCACAAAGCCTCAGAAGGAATGCAACCCTTCCGACCCATTTTAGATCTCTCATCTCCAGAACTGTAAGAGAATAAATTTATGTTGTTTTAAGACACTATGTTTATGGAGATTTGTACAAGAGCGATGGGAAACTAACACAAGCTGCCACTTCACGGTTCTAAAATGCCTGAGAATCCAACAAGCGAGCACCTACCCATGGGAGAAGGTAAGCAGAAGGCGATGACGGAAAACATGTGGAGAGAAGCAGGAAGTGCTGGAGGAGTGAGGGGAAAGGCAGGGCAGGGGCCCGAGGCCTGGGGCTGTGGAGTTTGATGTAGGCTGGCTTCCCCTTAGGCCACCCATAAAGGCCATTTCCTGTAGTTAAAGTTGGCCCAGGGTCTGACTTGGGAATGAGGGTCCAACAAAATGGATGCTGGTTTGAGGGTCAAAGGGATGGGAGCTGAAGAACTGAGAGTCTGAAGTTCAGTTAAGGTCTCTTTCCTCCAAGTTTATGCTCTGTAGTTTTGTTGTGTTGAGTTTTTTACAGCAAGAATTTGGGCAAGTCAGAGCTAACAGAAGGCTGAACAACTGTCCTGGTTTGCCCAGGACTGAAGGCTTCCCAGTATGCAAGGCTTTCCATTTTAAAACCAAGAGTCCCAGGTGCACCAGGATGACTTGGTCACCTTGGCTACGGCCTAAAGACCTTTCCCCGACCAGGGTAGGGGCCACAGGGCAACCTATGATTTAACATCACCAAAATGCAAAAACGCGCATGCTCAGGAAGAGGCTGAGAGACTGGAAGAGAGAAGAGCCCAGGGATCATGGAGATCTCTGTGGGAGAGACTGCGGTCACAAGAGGAAAAGCAGTGCTGAGCGCTTACAAGACCCCGGGGGGCTGTGACGGAGTGACTCTCCTGTTCACCCTTGTGGATCCTGAAGACACCAGGGATAGGACAGGGCTTAGGGTCAAAAGGAAGGCTTGACCCATGTGCCATAGTCCTCAAAAACGGAGGGAGCCTGGCTGGGGGGTCAGGAGACAGCAGCAGGGAGAGGGAGATCAGTTGAATGCTTGGAGCCTCAAAGGAACAAGGGCTTTACATGAGAGTGGAAGAGAAGTGGTCCGGAAGATACAGAGGAAATAAAGGGGACCCTGACCACATGGCTTCTGGTCTTTTCTACTCAAAAATTCTAACATATGAGGGTGGGGATAAATCCTTCCACTGTGGGTCCAAAATTTGGCCCTGACCTCTGACAGCACTGCATTCTCTGCAGGACAGAGGTTCCCTGTTGAAAAGCTGCATCTTGACCATCGCTCTGCCTTAGGCAATTTACCAGATTCACAGACAAGCCTGAAAAATATCCCAGTGGGCAGCCTTTACTCTCCACAGCGTTTCTGGAGAGTGCCCTCTGCACTGAGCACTAAGACGTTTGGCAAAAAAGCTGAAGTGAGGATGGGCTGGAGCTCTGATTGGCTGGGCTGGAATCCTGGGTCCACTACTTACTAGCTGGGATCTTTCGGCAAGTCCTTTCACCTCTCTGTGCCTCAGTTTCCTCGTCTGTAAAATGGAGAAACCAGACGACCTACCTCCGAGGCACTAACACCATGCTTGCAGCATCGTCGCTATCATCTGCAGAGTGTAGGAATTTGCAAAGGGAAATGGGGCAGACCCATTATCCATTCCCTACTTCTCTGATAACAGAACCCAACTTTGTTTGCAGATGGCAGTGTACTCAGCTCACTTCTCCCTTTCTCAGCCTCCCTTGCTGTAGCCATGTGACCTAGTTCTGGCCAATGAAGTGCAAACAGAAATCTGTTGGGGAGAAAGGAGGTTTCTGAAAAAACTTTTGCCTTCCTGAAGAGAAGGAGAAACAGAAGCTGGTGCCACATTCCCTCTTCTTCCTGCCCTGGATACGGAGGTGATGCTGGGCGCTGTGGCAGTTATAATCATGGGGCAAATGCCAGTGCTCTGAGGTAGTGGAGACAAAAGAAGCATGGGTTCCTGATAGCACACCGGGCAGCTGAACCAAAGCTGACAATCGCCTACCCTTGTCCTTGTTAAGAAAAATAACTCCCAATTTGCTTAATTACTTTATTTGGGGTTTATAGCTAATTGTAGCTGAATACATTTCTAAATGATACAGGGGCTTAGCCTGCCTCCTACAAAAGCACAGCACATTTGAAATTCAGGTCACCTGCTTCTATCAAGTGATTTTTTTTTTTTTTTTCCAAAGAAAGGAATCAGGTGCTAAAGGACCTAGCATAAACCCCGTCTTTCTTTTCCAAAGTGAATGTAGAGGGGTGGTGCCAAAAGAGCAGGATCACAATGTACAGGTGTGCCTGAGAACACCACGCATGAGGAGGCCCTGTTCAGCAAAGGGGAGCTGCCACCCTCAGGGCTGAAAAGGAAGCAGATGAAGCCGCTTCCCCAAGCCTGGCCTGAGCCCAAGCACTACTGAGGACAAAGCGTCCCACAGAGTAAGGGGAAGCTGATCCCACTAAGAGTCATGTAACCTGGCTATTTAACTGTTCCCTCACAAAAGTCACAGACCGGTTCTGAATTATGGTCGTGGTCAATAATGTAAGTTTATTTAAGATTGCTACTGCTGTTTTATGCTAACCACACCTCATCCATCCAAAAGCTTCTTAAACAGCCTTAAAGGAACTAAATGTTTGGATTTGGTAAGCTCCTCTGCTTCCCTTCCCCCATCTGGCTCTCCACTCTCGGACTGGAAAAGTGAGCTTTTATATCAGAGTCTGGGTCCTTGCAAAAGCAAAACTGAGAAAAGACAACAGTGATGGAGAAAGTAAAACGCTTACCAAAAAACCCTGGAGTTTACCCTAGGCCGCGTCCACAAGAGCTCGCTGCGCTTGCCCTTGCTGACAACCAACCCCCGCCCCGCCCACCCCGCTCCTTTGGGGAAGGGCAAGAATGAGATCAGCTTGCGTCTCCCAGGCAGGCAGGTGATGACCGTAACTGGTCCCACGATCCAACGTCAGGAGGACAGCGGCCAGGGGCCGCCCCCGCCCAGAGGCGGGCTGGCTTCCACTAGCCGGCAGGGGCTCTGCGAGGTGCCGGGAGCCCGCGAGCGTCCGTCTCGGGTCCCCCACCCGCGCGTCCGGGGTCTCGGGCCGCTACCCGCGTCTCATTTGGCGCCCGGGCACCGGGGCCCTCATCCAGGGCGATGGCGCGGGCCTGGCTCCGGGCCCGGGCCGCCCCCCTCCATCCTCTCCCCCTATCCCCCCCGGGAGCCGGAGCCGGTCTCCTTTCCCCGGCCCGCCTCCCGGCGCGCAGACCCCGGCCCCGCCCCGGCCCGCACTCACGCTCCACGTCGTGCAGCTTGGCCCGCTCCTCCTCCAGTTTGCCCTTGAGGCTCTCGGCCTCGCTCTTGAGCGACGCCAGCGTCTCGTTCTCGTGCAGCCCGTCTGTTGCCATCTTCGAGCGGGGACGCGGCGGGAGGGAAGCGGGGATGCGAGTCAGCGGGCGGCGGAGGCCGGGCCGGCGAGCTTGCGCCGAGCCGCCACCGGCGCAGCTCCAGCCGTCTCCCCAAGCGCGCCCCGCCCCTCGGCGCTGACGCCGGCTGCTGAGAGCCGGGCGGCTGCGGCCGATCCCCTCCCCCCTTCCCCGGACGTGTCCGCGGGCGCAGAGCCCTTGCGCAGTGCCCTAGGCGAGGCCCGAGTTAGCGCTGCAGCGAACAGCACCCGGGGACGCAGGGAGTGTCGTGCCCATTTTGCGGGTGGGAAAACCGAGGTTAGGAGGAGATACGTGACTTGCTGAAGGACGCGCACTTAGTGAGGGCCAAGCTGGGATTCCAACCCAGGACTGCCGGCTCCTGGGAGTTTGGGGAAGTCCCAGTGACACAGCCCTTGCAACACCCCTTTCCCCCAGTCCCTCGCACACATCTCCCGTCCTTGGTGGCTTCTGCCTGCCGAGAGAGGAGAGGTTAAGGGGGCCTGGCTCGCGCCACTGGTACCCGGTCTGACCCCTGGTAGCTCTGATGCTCCCCCTACAACGAAATGAAAACTCTCCTCGTTTACTGACGTAAATATATATATATATACACACACACACACAAAGCTAGTTCTGGCTTCTGAGAAGCTGTGGGGTCTTTGTGGGGTCTTTGCCCGTTCTTGGTTTTGCCTTTCTTTTATTCACTCGGGAGTTAAGTCCCTGGCAGCAGAAGGAAGTGGTGGTGGGGCCAGGGACACACAGGGACCCAGACTCGGGGCTTCTGAGCCCCTGCCCAGTGATCTCAGACACATCACTTCTGAGGCAGCTTCCTCCACCTTAGAATGAAGGGTTGCTATAGTTCCCTCAAGGAAGCAAATTAGTGACTTTGTGGCAGACTCAAGCATCCGTTCTTTCCAGTCTCTTTTCATGCCAGGCACGGTTCCAAGTGCTTTACATTAATAACTCACCACAGTCACCCTGAATGGGTACTATTGTCACCTCCATCTTACAAATGAGGAAACTGAGGCACAGAAAGGTTAAATGATTTGCTTAGTTCACACTCCCAGAAAGTGTCAGAAACACCTTTCTCATAGGATCCTCATCAGGAGTGACTACGCAGAGCATTCAGAGTGAAGCGTGGCATACAGTATGTGCTCGTTGTTATCATTAAGGCTGCCTGGTACACTCGAGCAATTCACAGGAAGTAATTTAAATGAGACACTGGATCATGGGGGACACTCCTCCCAAGGGTCATCGCAGAAGACCTGGGAAGAGCAGCATCCTCTCATCACCTCCTCAGGCTGGCACCTCTTTGCCCACCGTGGGATGTGTGTGTCTGCCTCAGGGGCTGCCTGTTTGTGAAGACCTGGGGTGAGTGGAGCTTCATACTGGTGTGTGCCCTCCTCTGAAGGCTCTTTGTGTAAAATAACCCCCAAACAGCCTCCAACCTGGAGACTTTACCATCTAGACATGAGGCCATGTAACTTTTCAAGGGCTGGCAAAGTTTGCAAAGTGCCTTCCTGTAGTTTGCTGTTCACTGCTTTTTGTAAGTGAGGAAGCTGGGGGTCAGAAAAGTTGAGATCTGCTACGTTTCAGCAGTGGTGGAGTTACAGGGTTGCCCCTATCCATGAAAAGTGTCCACGGGGGGCTGTGTCTACACAGTCCCAAACACCTGGATTAAAAAGTTAGCTGTCAGTCATTTGGATGTCTGCACAGTCAAAAGAATCTGTCTGAATATTTGGGAACCCCAGGTGCTTGTGGTGGAGATAGCTGGCGACAATCCTCTGAAGAATATCTCCAGGCGGGGTTCTGACCTGGGAAGAATCTGTGATGCTACAGAGGACCTGACATCCGGGATTCTGGGCTCCTTCTGTCCACAGAGGAAGTTGTTTCAAAAGGAGAAGAGCTGGATTAATAAATAGCACTGCTCCAGGATGGTAGGGCCATCAAAAAGCAGGTTTATTTTAAGAACTGAATGTGCTCAGTTTGCAGATCCAAGTTTAGAACACAATGTGCTGCAGGTAGAAGCCCATCACACTGAGCCTGAACCCCGTGACATCAGGATTACTATGCTGTACCAAAGCTTGTGTGCCACCTGAGGCTGCTTACTTGCAATTTGCTTTATAGGAATAATTTTTTAAAATGTGATCACTGCCAGGGGTTACAGTGGGACCAAAAGGATGAATATGGTTTTTCCTCTTCAGTTGGATAAAATGTCAACGTTATCTTTCCTCCCTCAGATATGTGTTTTGTTTTTTGTTTTTTCATCGTGTCCATGATCGGGATTTCCTACTGAGCTTGTGGGGAAGAGTGCTTTACCACTTGTGACCAGGTGGGGGCTCCACACGGCTTTGCAAATCCTCTGAGACAGGATATTCCTAATGCCTCAGCCCGGCTGTGGGCATTTCTGCTGCAAGATCTGAAGCCTGCGCAAAGCCATCTCTGGTGAGGATTGATGTGTGTACTTTGAAAAGTGCCAGGTTTTGTGTTCAGTGCCTACCCTCGCTGAAGGCTTAGACCCAAGGAGCACTTTTCCTTGAGGCTGATTTTGCTAAATACTGAGGCCCTATATGGTTCAATCTTCTGCAGAGCTGTTCCTAAGGACAGCTGGAACAGGGCCTTTGGGAAGGTGCTCCCCGGCTCTTTATTTACCAGAGTTCCTTTTAGCTTGCTTGCTTGCCAAGCAGACTAGGAGAAGACAGAAGAAAAAAGCATTAGCTCTAAAAAATAACAAGCTGAAACATTTATTGAGCACTTCCTCTGCTGGGTATTGTTTTAAACATTTTCTCAAATAAACTCACTTTTGTTTCTCCCAAAACCCTATGAGACAGATGCCATTATTGTTGTTTTACAGATGGGAAACAGACCTCCTGGGAGAGGGGAGGTCCATTGGTACAAGGCCTCCAAGTAACATAACTGGGAGTTGAACCCAGGCAGTGAGAGCCCAGAGCCCACATCCTAAATCCCCACACACTATACTGTCTCACCCAGCCTGGGTGTGCTGCAAGTGTGTGTGTGTGTGTGTGCGTGAACTGGTTCTCTGGCAACCCACCTGTCACAGGGCCCTCACATTAGACATTGTTTCAAGACAGGTAATGACTTAAAGTTTTAAAGAGCAGCACTTACAATTTCTGCACATGGTGAACAGTAGCTGAGCTGTTGAGATTTCTTGAAAACTGGTCTCAGAGCCCGTTGTTTGAAACATTTGTCACAGGAGCCAAATACGTTAACGAGAAAGGTCTGATCACACATCTTTTACCCAAGATGAAGCTGAAAAAGAGGGAGAGAAGAAAAAGGGATGTGTGTGTAAGTAACTTCACCTCTCTGAATCTTTGTTTGCTAGTCTGTCAAATGGGTATCTTGGAATCTACCATCACAGGGGTACCAGGGGAATTTTGAGGGACAGCACAGGAAGCGTTTAGCTCCAGGCTGGAATACAGAGCTCCACAGATGTTATGCTGCCCTGTGGGTGGCTACAATAGCAGCCGCCACCACAGCAGCGGGGGTGGGTGGGGGGGGGATGAGGCTGGAGATGAGGAAAGAGCAGAGAGGAGCCTATGGCCACAGTTCAGACGAGATGAAGGCATGAACTAAAGCAATGCTCTGGGGTCTGAGGGGTTGTGGTGCCGCTGTTGGAGAGGGAGGCCAAGGGGGTAAAGGTGGGAGGGAGCAGCCATTGTCTCCGAGCCGATTTAACAGGCGTTCCAAAGAGTGGGCCATGTCAAGGGCAAAGAAGAGAACCGCTGAGTGTAAAGATATTGGGGCCCTGGTCTGAACATTTGGAAGAGCCCAAAATGAGAGGGATGTATTTGTGGGGCAGGTGGCAGTGGGGACACTGCTGAGGGGGAATGTCTACCAGAGGTCACCATGGGGCTGGGGAGAGAATGGGGAGCTCATGAGTTGGGGTGGACTCCTACAGCCAAGGGCCGGCTGGCGGAGTTCTTGAGATCTCTGAGGAACGAAGGAGTAGAGGGCAGTCTCCTAAGGATGAGAGATCAGGAGGGGACCAGCTACTGATCACCTCGAAGGGCTGGTCCCTGACCTCTCACAGCCACCCTGGGAGGGAGGAAGGACATCCGTGTTACCACAGAGGAAATGCTGAGGGATTAAATGAGATCAAGGTCAGTGATGGAGCCTGAATCTGTATGTAGTGGGACTCCACAACGTTTACCACAGAGCTAGACCATCAAGCTGCTCTGCTTTGTCCCAGAGGGCGAGTTAAAGACTGGCAAAGGGCCTGCCCACCCAAGCCTGGCCCGTGCCAGGGCCCTAGTAATGTTGCCCACCTCCCGCCCCCCACTGCCCAAACCTGCTAAGGCGGCCAGTCACGGGGTCGTGCTGAGGACTCCAAGTAATAGCATTAGGAAGGTGAGCCGTGGATTTATTCAGCAAGGGAGCGACGTCATTCAAGTGGATTATTCCAGCATTTGCACTTTCAGAAGTAGGTCAGAGAGACAAAGTACAGCAGGAAAATCAACTAGGTTAAGAGACTGTTATCATGTTCTGGGAAAGAGGAAATAATGTCTGGACAGAGTAGCAGCTGCAGGAATGGAAGGCGAGAGGAACCCGAGGACGCAAGGGCAGAAGGAATAGAAGGATGACTAGGAATTATGGGAGATCGACCCCTACAAAGAGAGAAGTAGAAAAATTGCCACACAGAAAGACAAATATCGTATGATATTGCTTACATGTGGAATCTAAAAAAAAGGGGTACAGATGAATTTATTTACAAAACAGAAGTAGAGTCATGGATGTAGAAAACAAACTTATGGTTACCAGGGGATAAGGGGGGAGGAGGGATAAATTGGGAGATTGGGACTGACATATACACACTGCTATATATAAAATAGATAACTAATAAGAACCTGCTGTATAGCACAGGGAACTCTACTCAATACTCTGTAATGGCATATATGAGAAAAGAATCTAAAAAAGAGTGGATATATGTATATGTATAACTGATTCACTTTGCTGTACAGCAGAAACTAACATAATATTGTAAATCAACTATACTCCAATAAATATTAAAAAGAAAAGAAAAATTGCCAATATTCCAAATCTGGATAGAGATAATTTTTTCTCCCAAACTGAATTTTAATTTTTTTCAAATTATAAGAGCTGTACATGTTCATTATAAATAACTGGAAACAGAGGAACATGAAGAAGGAAAATCAATCACCTACATGCCCTGTCCTAACAAATAACTGACCTGTGTTAGCATTTTATGTTTTCTTCTAGTATCTTCATAAGCACCTATGTGTATACATTAAAAAAATTGGAATTACATGCCATACGCAATTTTGAACTTTAGTTTTTTGCTTAATAGTGTTTTCGCCTTTGCATGTCATTGCATATTCTTGGAAAACACCAATTTTTAAATGGAGACTACAAATTTTGAATTATATCAACCTTAAATCATATCGCATGGCTAGCATCTTAGATCTGGTTGGTTGAACGTGGGCAAGCTACAAACTAAAGTTGGAAGATTATAGTATTTTTAAACTAGAAACATTATACATGGTTGTTGTAGAAAGTTTGGAAAAATCAGAAAGGTATAAGGAAGAAAACAATCACCTATAAACCCATTGCCCAGAGAGACTCCTTTTCACATTTCGGCGTATGCAAGAATAGAGTTTTAGGACCAGGGGTCATACTGATCATGTACACTGTTTATATTTTTACATCCTGGTGTTTTTTCATTTATATTTATAACATGGGCTAAATTTAATTTCAGTACATTCTATTGTACTTATTGACAATAATCCTTTTTATGATGAGGGAATTTTTCAAGCGAGAGCAAATGCTTCAATGGGCATTTTAACAAGCTAAAGATAAAAATACCCCATTTTAACAAGTTTTGACATGAAGTTGTTTTGCAGTAGGAGTTCCCTAACCCTAAGGCATGCACAAAATTTCTTTGAAATGTTTCACTTAAACAGATGTTGCAAAAAATCACCAAAACCCCCACTACCCCATGATTATTTTTAAAAAGTCAGTGCCAAGATAGAAAATCAAAAGTGAAAATCCCCACTATCTGCCCTGCACTCAATTCCCTGAGTTAGATGGCTATTCTTCCAGACTTTTCTGATGCCATAGACAAAGCTTTGTTAGTTGTATAAATGGGGCTGTTAGCTACTTGCTTTTTCACCTAACTTTATTGTGTTAGTGCTTACAGAGCTATCTGTTTTTTGGTAATAGCTTCAGTATTATTTTATCCTATGGAGTAATGGAGTATCATAATTTAATAAACCAACCTCCTACTGGAGGATATATAGGATAGGATATATTGGATACATAGGATAGGATAGGATATATTGGATATATAAGATATCACCAGTTTTCACTTCAAAAATAATGCTTCATTGACCCAATTAAAAATGGGCAAAAGTACCCTCAGACTTTGCTGGTGGGAATGTAAAATGGTGCATCCTCTGTGGAAGACAGCTTGGCAGTTACACAAAAAGTTAAACAGAGCTGTTACCAAATGACCAAGCAAATTCACTCCTGGATATATCATACGTTCACATAAAAATTTATACACGGATATTTGTAGCAGCATTTAACACAAAAAGTGGAAACAACTAAGATATCCATCAACTGAGGTATGGATAAAGAAAATGTGGTCTCTTCATACAGTAGACTCTTCTTTGGCAATAAAAAATGATGAAGTTCTGATATGTGCTATATCATGGAAGAACCTTGAAAATTTTATGCTAAGTGAAATAAGCCAGACACAAAAGGCCACAAATTGTGATTCCATTTATACGATAAGTCCGGGACAGGCAAATCCATAGAGACAGAAAGTAGATTAGAGGTTACCAATAGGTGGGGGAGAGGGGGTTGGGAGTGACTGCTTAATGAATACAGGATTTCTTTTTTGGGGTGATGGAAATGTTCTGCAATTAGATAATGTACATTCTTGTGAATTTACTAAAAACCTCTGAAATGTATGCTATAAAATACAGAGTTTTATATTGCGTGCAATCATATCTCAACACACGTTATTTTTTAAGTGCGCAAAAGACTTGGACACTTCACAAGTGCAGATATTCATATGGTCAATAAACAGATAAAGAGGTGCTCAACATCATTAGGCAGCAAAGAAACGCAAGTTAAAACCACACCGTGAATCCACCACTTACCCACCAGAATACCTAACAGTAAAAAAGACTGATGATGTGAAACGTGGGTGAGAATGTAAAGCACTGGACCTCCTCTGCTGGTGGGCGGATAAATGGGTACAACCACATTGGAAAACTGGTTGATAGGACCTACTATAGCTACACATACATATAATTCTATTCCTTGATATATACTCAACAGAAATGCATACTTACATCCTCAAAAAAAACCCCATGAACAAGAATGTCATAGCAGATTTATTCATAATAGCCCCAAACTGGAAAAACCCAAATGTTCATCACTATACACTAGATACATAAATTGTGATATGTTTAAGTAATAAAAAAGAATAAACTGCCGATACATATGGCGGTAAATGGATGAATCTCACAGACTTAACTAAAATTATGTAATGTTTAGTGTCAGAAACCTCTGTCTATTCCATAAGCTGCACTCCAAGGTTTACGTTAACATGTGAAATGTTACGTGGGTCAGTTTTTTTTAATATCTCTTTTTTGGGGGGCCGCACTGAGCGGCAGGTGGGATCTTACCCCAACCAGGGATCGAACCCCGTGTCCCCTGCAGTGGGAGTGCAGTCTTAGCCACTGGACTGCCAGGGAAGTCCCATGTGGGTCAATTTTTAACAGATTAAATAATTGTAAATATGCTTAATTTTCCCCTGATGCCAATACTAAATATATTTTGAAAACAAAGCACCTATTTCAAAAGATACGCATATGTATTGTGGAAAAATTAGAACATACAGACTAACTACCATACCACCCCTCACCCATACTCTTTACCACACAGAAAGACCACAGTCAACACCTTGGTATGCACACACCTGAACAATTTTCTGAGCATTTAAGGAAGCCTGAGTATTCTAATTTAATGTTAACACATACATACCTTCCAGGGACTCAACACATGGAACCGATCAGCAGAACGGTGAGAAGTTAGAGCTGTAGCTCCAAGTGCTAAGGCAATTACAACCCGTCTAACTAATCTCCTTACCTGGGCTTGACAGCTCAGCTGCTCCCTTCCTTCCCACCTGCAGCTCCGTGTTCACGTCTGAAGCACGCACTGCGGTTTGCATCACTCACTCACCCCTTGAACCTTCTGACCATCCATGCTGCCAGGTGCCCTCAGAACCCCCGTTGACCAGTTTCTAGGGCTCAGTTCTCTGCCCTTTGCAGGAAGCAGAGTTCAGCAGGGTTGGCCCCCGTAAATTCAGACCCCGCTTTACTGAGCAACCCTGACATTCACCTGTAACTGAAGGTTATCAGCAGCTCCTGCCTCTGCACAGTCCTCACCCCACCAGCACCTCGTTGTTTTGGCCACTCTTGCTACATTCAGCTTTGTAGAGCTGATCAAGACTGTGGGGCGAGGGCTCCCCTGCCCCCTTCTCCATGCATAAACTTTTCAGGCTCTGCAGGTCCCCCCGTCTCCAAACAGGATCTACTCCTTCCCAGGACCGAACCCTCACGAGCCCTGCCGTCTCCAGTAGGACTCTGCCCCTGCAGTTCTGCTCGCCACGTCAGGTTGCCCAGAGGGTAGTGGAGGGAATGGCCAGCGTTACTGTCTTATAGCCCAGGATAAATGCTGTAAGACAGACAGGAGCCCTGAGTTACAGGTGCCAAAAAGGAAGGGTGATGGTCTCTTTGTGGCATAGGGGAGACCAGGAAGGGGCATGGAGAAGGCAGTCCGTGTGGACCAAAACCCAGCCAGCTCTCCACCAAGTAGCCCCTCATTCTGGCACAGTCTGGGAGCCCCATGCAGACAGAGCCTGAGCCAGGGCTGAGGGCATATTTACTTCCTCTCTAAAAAATTTTATATATGTTTTATGAGATATTATGTGATGCTTTTTTTTTTTTTTTTTTCCAGTACACGGGCCTCTCACTGTTGTGGCCTCTCCCGTTGCGGAGCACAGGCTCTGGACGCGCAGGTTCAGCGGCCATGGCTCATGGGCCCAGCCGCTCCGCGGCATGTGGGATCCTCCCGGACCAGGGCATGAACCCGTGTCCCCCGCATCGGCAGGCGGACTCTCAACCACTGTGCCACCAGGGAAGCCCTTATGAGATATTATGAATCTATAAAGATTCTAGCATCTTCAAGTATGACCCTTAAAGAAAGGCATAAAGCTTGTGCACTTAAAAAAACTGTCATCTCCTAGCAATTAAAAGAATCTGACCCAATTCATTTGGTAATTTATTTTGATTAAAATGTCACAAAGTTCTACTTCTTATTTCTTCATATACAATGTATCTAAATGAACTAAATTCAATCATTTGTAATATGAAAAGACATTACATATTAGTAGGGTGATGTTGCTTCATAATCATGTATTATTTCCACTCCTAAGATACATGCCCATGTTACAGAATCACAGCTATGGCCTGTGACTTTGGGGTGATGCAGAAGAGGCCACAGGCCAGGAGTACTTATCAAATGATGTTTTACGCTCTGAAAGGAAGAAAGGAGAAAACTTGGGGGGAACAATAGTTCCCACAAAACTTGGGAAACAGATTTCTCAAAAGGAGGAACTGACAAAATTCTTCAATTATTCTTATGAGATCTTAAGATTTGA